CGTCTGCCTTTTATATCTAGAGATAGGTGAACCTCAAAGACGTCGGCGAGTTGGGTATTGATTACAATATACCACGCCGCTTCGCTGTCAGCTTATTGAAATGCCGCCGGTTTCCGCAGCTAATGTTAACGCGGTTGGTATCGTAGATAACGCCGCTTTTGTATACAAACGCAATATGTCGACTGCTTTAGACACGAACCGTCAAGGAAGGAAAGACTAAACATAAAATTATTATATGTGTTATTTTATGTTACATAATTAAGATGATAATTACAAACGTTATAATTGCGTTGGAAACGTATGACTATAAGGAAAAATCCGAAATTATCATTTGTGACGCGCGCGCTTTCGGGCAAGCAACCCGTCATAAAAGGTCGTATATTGATGCAACATCCTGTACATGATATGGTAATATAAAACCTTTTCGACCAATAAGCATATTTTGTAAACCAATACGACTATTTTATGCTAGATGCTCATTGGTCCAGACAGTTTCATACTATACATATGCAGATATGTCAATTTGTATGCGATAGTCGTAAAAATGAATTGTTTTATACAAATGATATCGTAGAGTATTACATTAATCGTCGAAATTGAATTACATCAACAATTCTATTATATTATTTCTTACAGATATGTATATGTTATATGTGAAATGTTTAAGAAGTATAACGTAAACTTTGAGAATCACTAATCTCGACATATGACATACTGACTAATTGATCACCGATACAGCACAAATGTTCAAAAGACATTATAGAGAAGTCCCAGAGATATTTCATATTTACTTATGGAATATAGAATAAATATGCATATAAAATATTTGTATAAAATAATAACATATATTTGTAGAANAATATCCCAAAGAATATTCTGAACATATTCAGGATGATTCTGAGGACGCCTTGTGCTGTCTGGGTAATGATTTAATTAATTTTACGGTTGTAATTTAATTAAAGATGCACGAACGTAAGTGGCTCTATAAGTATCAATGGACAACCACGAAAAGTTCGGGAATTCAGGAAGATGTCATGTTACGTCATGCAAGAAAATGTTGTGCAGCCGAATCTCACGGTCATTGAAGCAATGACATTCGCCGCCGACCTGAAGCTTGGCAAAAGAAAATCCCGATTTGAGAAATGCGTTATCGTAAGTACACCACAAGTCAATACATAAATGCGTAATATGCTCCACATTCTTTCTTTTTTTTACTTAACTTTTATGTTTTATAATATCCAACATTGTCTCGCACCAACAGCTGTACTGTTAAATATTTATACATTTGTCGCCGCGCGTAAGTCAGAGAAATATCTTTTAGATAGACGAGATTCTGAATACTCTCAGATTGTCTGCTTCACGAAACACAACCTCGGAGAAACTGTCCGGTGGCGAAAAGAAAAGGCTGATGATCGCTCTCGAGTTAGTGAATAATCCACCGATTATCTTTCTTGACGAACCGACCAGGTAAGTGCACAAAATGCAAGTAACTTTATCTAAAGTTGCTTATAAGCGCGTAGAAAAATTAATTGTGCCATTTAAAAGTTCTATATAAAATTTAAACAAAATCTCAATAGGCATAAAGTGGAAATATCTCCACTGTCGTATGACACAGACCAAAATCTGAAATGTGACCACGCATTGAGGATTTTCAATTTTTTCAGTGTCAATATGTTGCAATGGTCAGATACTTGTCAAAACTATGTTTCTCATAATGTATGAGAATCAAATAGTATTACACTAGGTTAAGCTTGAAAAACTTAATGGCNCACGCATTGAGGATTTTCAATTTTTTCAGTGTCAATATGTTGCAATGGTCAGATACTTGTCAAAACTATGTTTCTCATAATGTATTACACTAGGTTAAGCTTGAAAAACTTAATGGCTACATGTTTTAATTTAAGAGTAATCGGGCTTTCCTTAGATTCAGCAATGGTGACTGCTGTTTCACGTGATGTTGTAGCGCCATTTGCCGCTTTCGCGCCCACGGCGGAAGCAGAGTCTCGTGCCGAGAGCTATCTTCTCCGCGCAGGCCGCGGTGCTACCCGCCGTGCGCGGTAGCTTGTCCTCAGGTGCTGCGCGCGGCGCCACAGCTGAGGCGAGACGAAGAAGAAGCGTTCGCTTCGCCGTCTCAGTAGCGAGAGTCAGTAGCGAGAGTTAGAAAGTAGCGAGAGTCAGTAGCGAGAGACAGAGAGCAGAGAGAAGCGTGAGAGGGTTGAGCGAGAAAGTTGAGCGAGAGTGTTGGGCAGAAGACTGTAGGAGAGAGGAGCGCGGAATAAAGACATCGGAAGAGAAAAAAGCGAGTCAAGCCATTCTAACCCCGCCTGCACCTTNATGTAATATTAATAGCACACAATATTACAAGTGTTTTTCGCCAATTTTTGATGCATTTAAGAACCACGCTTACAAGCAAGTGGTTATGCATCGTATTAATTTTACAATTTTATCGATCTAATTTCTATATTTGATTATTTTTCATCTTCCACCTCGGTGTTATATATCTTACTTACAAAGAGCTTTCACTCCTCATTTTCGAATGAGACAACTACCACCTAAACAAGCGATATTCAACTTATTTAGATGGTGGTTATCTGACCCGAAAATGACGAATGTAAGCTTTTTGAGTTAGTACAATTGATCGTTGATTTTGTAGATAAAATTGGATTATTTTTATTCGTTGCTCTGTCGTGAATTTCTCTATAACTATTCTCCAAGCATAACAAATAATTTGAAAAAAAATTTTCAAAAAATTAATAGCAAAAAAG